AGCATAAAGGTCCCTGTATGTGAGTTTCTTCCCAAAATGAATAGAATGAGAATAATTCTGTATATTAGCAATAGGTGTTCCAAGTCCTACTAGGCAAGATGGAAAGGACCATTCTACATCGGTCCCTTCTTGAGGTGTTTCCTGGGTTCAGTCACCCATTCTTCCCCTCTGCGCCCTCTTCACTTTGGTGTGATGGATTCTGGGCTTTACCCCTGCCAGCTTCAGAGTAGGTGGAGTGGTGACAAACACGCCCCAGGGTCCTGTCCATATTGATCGTCCATGTTTTGAGTAGAGCTCTGTCTCCTGCTAAGAAGGGAAGTAGGGGGAAAAAAATCCCTAGTACATGCCAAACAATTAATTACAGTCAGTGTTTGATTAAGATGCTGGGTTGAGTTTATGATACCCAAGACTGAGGAAACCTGAGGAGTGGTTCAGGTCCTGAGGCAGTCACAGAGTCATCTATCTAGTTTTGCTGCTTTCCTGGGCCTGCAGCTGAAATACAACTAAGGCCTAGATGTTATCTTTAGGCAAGAAAATGTCAGGGGGTCTAAACTGCCTGACCAGTGATATGAAAGGGGAGGATTGTTTACCTTGGGAGCAAGGATCTTGTTTTCCCAGTTTTGTCCCTTGCTAGGCATCTGGAGCTTTCTGCCCAGATGAGTTTCTGCATCTGGCCCATCGTCCTTGCTCTGAGGGTCTAACATTCTGGGGGCCTGTCTAACATTTCCCCCCATAAAGATTTTTGGTCCTGAATTCTTTCAGAGAAAACGGGGCATCAGTTCTCTTCTATAGACACTTTCTGCTGGAAGGTGGAGATATTTTCCTTTAGAGCCAAAAATCCTTGCTCTCTGTCAGAGGGAAGATGAGGCCTGGGCATAAAAGGAGGTTGTGATGGTATATATGGGTGGTATCTCCTGAGTACAAGTAGGGCTTGTAACCTGGTGGAGACAAACTGTTTTATAAATTTTAGTATTATTGGGGAAAGCTAGAACAATAAGAATTATGGCAAATGGTGTGGTGAAAGGAAAGAGTCATTAGTTTGGAGGATTGTAGCCAAATATTTATGAAAACTAGGAAAAAATTCAGAATCTAGTTTAGTTCAGCTCATGGGTGAAAAATAAAACTTTGAAGATAATGAACTGAACTAGAGTCCTACATTGCAACTGTGTATATGGAATCTATTGAAACACATCCCCCCCCTCCAAAATCACCCTCATTTTTATTAAATAGCCAATTAAGACCAATTTATTTACTGTATTTACTTTAGTTTCAATATGGCCTGATTGTTTGCATGAGCACAAGAATAGCAATTGATTATATAGGCTTTCAAAAACTTGCTTTCCTGGAATCTCAAGATTGAGCCTTAATTAGCCTCTAGGGGCAAAGATGATGAGCCACCTACTTGCCACCAAGTTTGCCTGCAATACCTGTAAAATGGGGTGAATCCCTCAAGTTTTTTGAGGTTCCCAATGATATTTTGAGGTTCCTTCCTTGCCATCTCTCAGGAAAGCAACCCTTGTTCCTTACCTGGAAAGACTGCCATGAACCACGGGATCAAACAAGGTACCAGGCCATTTCTTGTAAGTGACTTTTGATTGGCTTCAATCCGTTTTGAGAATGCTTTCTGGTGATGCCCAGAGTCTAAGCATGTCTCTCTCAGACATAACATTCCAGTCAAAGTCTTGGTTAATAAAACCATAATTGGTTTTATTGAATTCATGCAAAGAAACTTATTGCCATGACTTACTCATTAAGAATTACCAAGTTCTGGAGGGATAAGATAGGGAGAAAAATATAAAAGCTTCCATATTGCTTATGAAGGTCTAATTTATCAAATTGTTCTAGGGAATGAAAACAAGCTTTCTTATATTTTAAAGAGATGGCCTGACCTACTTAGAAACCTATAATTTAGAGTAAGTCAGAATCCTTGTTATGAATCTTTCCAAAGACTTAACTAATGTATTTGTAAATGCATCAGAGCAAAATAATGATGGTCTGTAAATGACAAACTTGAGTGACAGTATTATAGACTTGACCATAAAACATAAATGCCCCAATGTGTGGATTACAAACATCTGAAGTACTACTGCCAGATGCTTCCCATAGGGAAACATTACTCTAGGCTTGTCCAGTGTCACTGACAAGAAACCTATTATTACTGAAAATTTCCTTTTGAACTTGACTCTGAATCTTTGCAAGTTCCTTCCTAGAGGAGACTGAAATTTCTAGAATATTCATATTAACAAAAATATATATGTATTATTATTTGGCAAAACTTCCCATGTAATTTTTCAAGCATATTAAATGGGCCTAATTAGTTTAAAAATTTAGGAGAGAGAATGAATCCTTAAGGTATTCCAGGGCCCGTGGAATAGCTCAAAGTTGTTTCTCTGTTGAAAAAGTCTTTTGAAATTTAAACTTTGGAAAGGTTGTCATATATACTTAACCAACATATTAGATTTTAAATCTTTTGTAAATCTAGGCAGAACAAAATGTTAACAAAAGAAACATTCAAACCTTAAAAAATTTTTGTGCGTTTATTTGAGTCAAACTATCATCAATTGCTGGGAAGCAGAATCTCAACACATTGAGATAATGCTCCAGAGAAAGGTGATTTTTCACCTATTTTTAAAAATTACCATCAAAGGAGGAGATGTAAGTGGATTACATGAAATGTGTTGGTATAGATTAGGGAGGTTGGAGAAAGTAAAGGGGAGATGGAACCTCTGGAATTGAATACAAAGTTAAATGCTAGACATGTGCTTCTTTTACAAAGGTGGGCATAATTAACAGTCAACAATAAGATAAAAACAACAATAACACTGAGGGAATTTGTGATCTGTGCCCTGGCAACATTTGTTGTGCCCTTCACGGTCAGAAAAAGGGAAGTTACAAGTTACCCTGACATTTCACAGTTACGTTATCTTAGATGCAAAAAGACAAGCTCAGTAAAGATCGAAGTTGATTTACTTTATCTTAGATGCAAAAAGACAACAAGCTCAGTAAAGATCGAAGTTGATCTTTGTCAGGGAAGATACTGGCCTAGGGCATGAATACCCATTATAAACTGCTTTTTAATGAAAAGGTTTTAACTTCAGACCATCCTTTGTGGTTTCTTTAGGTCTATGAATTTGCAAGGCCACCATGCAGGCCTTCCTTGAGTTAGTCAGGTTAGCATGTGGCTCCTTTTCATCCACAAAAGGTATATAGCTTAATGGTAACAATTTTAAAGGCTGTTAATTAAACTTAAACCAGTTTTGATATTAAATATTTTGTCTAGACTAGGGGTGGGCAAACTTTTTGACTCGAGGGCCACAATGGGTTCTTAAACTGGACCGGAGGGCCGGAACAAAAGCATGGATGGGGTGTTTGTGTGAACTAATATAAATTCAAAGTAAACATCATTACATAAAAGGGTACGGTCTTTTTTTTTTTTTTTTTTTTTAGTTTTATTAATTTAAAATGAGCCGGATCCGGCCCACGGGCTGTAGTTTGCCCACGGCTGGTCTAGACCATAGGATTGTATTGAATTTATGTAAGTATTCAATTTCTGTAGGCCAATAAAACATTATACCCTAGTAGTGCCATCCAAACATTACACATAACATACAGACAAATACATGAAGACCATAGAAACCAGCATTTCTTAGATTGACATTTATGAACACACTTGAAACACACTCACTTCAAGAAACACACCTTCAACAAAGCACTAGACATTACATCAACTGTTCTAAATGTACTTTATAGAGTTTCTGTAACAAAAGCTATAATCAGGTGAACTTAAAACTTGTCTAGCAGTAATGTTTTGGAATTTCATGCTCTTTTAGAATATCTAGATATTTGTTATTTAACTCAGCAATGCTCCAAAGCTTTTAAGTCACAAAGACTTTGGAAAATGATGTATAGGCATATGAGGCTGGAGAAAAGGCGGGCGGGGAGAGGAGGGTGCAGGCCCCCCTGCGTGTTCCCAGGCCTCCAGTAGCTTGGATTTAAAACTGCCACATTTTGCCTGACTGGTTTGGCTCAGTGGATAGAGTGTCAGCCTGTGGACGCAAGGGTCCCAGGTTTGATTCTGGTCAAGGGCATGTACCTTGGTTGCAGGCACATCCCCAGTAGGGGGTGTGCAGGAGGCAGCTGATCGATG